CTGGAACTGCCCCTGTTACCTTACCCAGGGAAAAGGGATCTACTTAATCTGGGACTAATATATCTGCCTTCTAACACTCTCCTGTAGCCATTTGGCCTGACCCTGTCACATAACATTATACATGTTTTAACTATTACTGTAATAGACAAACAAAAAATTTTATTTTCAAGTTTTTAAGCTAATTGTAGTGAAATTATCTCACTACAAAGTATAGGGTACCGCCACGTTGCGAGGTATTTCTTGATGCATGCGCAGATGATGAAGTGGCAGCGTCGTGGCTTTGTTTGAATTCAGTTAGCCGCTAACTGTTAACGCGTCGGTTACAGTTTACTTCCACTGCATACTGGATCCATTTCCTTTTTGACCTGGATTCCATCAGCGATAGTGATTTGATGAAAGATGATCTCATTGAATTATGAGCCAATGGCCGAATCCGAATGGAGTTGGAGACAATGACACTTGAGAATGTCTGGGGTGCTCAACTAGCCACCGTTTCCACAACTGGTGAAGACGGCGCTGGAGATCCTTGTGCCATTTGCGACTACGTACTTGTCTGAGATTTTCATCACTCTTACACATCAAAACAAAGGCCAGAAACTGCCTAAATGCGAGCGATGACATGCGTGTGGCTATTTCAAAAAAAGTTCCTCGTTTTTCGAACATCATTGAACAAGAGCAACAGCAGAAGAGTCACTGAGCCGGTAAACTTACAAAAAGTGTGTAATTCGTCATGTATTCTTAATTTTACTGCGAAATTAAAATAAATATATAATTCTAGCTCTTTCGGTCTATAGTTATGGTATATCTAGGTTTAAAGAACTGACCTACTTCAATGGTTTTTGATAAAGGGTGCGAAAACATATTTTGAGAACCAAAGGGGTGCAGGTTCAGAACCACTGCCCTAGAAACCGGCTCTCTCTGGGACGAGACTGGCAGAATGGCAGGGAGGTGGGCGTATGGTGGGGGAGATTAGGGTTCCGTCAATCCAGCCCCATTCACCGGCACTACACTCGTTTAATTTGCTTTACAGCGATGGAGCAACAGCAGGATCAAACAGAACAGTAGGAGGAGCTACAAGGACAGAGGGAGACTAAGGAAATACTTTATTGCACAACACAAAATTAACCCAGGGAACTCATTGCCACAGCATGTTGTGATGGCCGAAAGTATAACTGAGTTCCAAAAAAAGAACTAGGTAAATTCATGGAGAATAGGTCCATCAGTGGCTATTAGCCAGGATGGGAAGGGATGCAAAACCATGCTCGGGGTGACCTCAAACCTCTAACTGCCAGAAGCCGGGAGGGGAAGCTGGGGTGGATCTCTCCAATATTGCCCTGTTCTGTACATTCCCCTGGAAGCTCTGTTACTGGCCTTTGTGGGAGACAGGACACTGGGCTAGATGGACCATTAACCTGGCTCATTATGGTAGCTGTTATGTTCTTAAGTCCCAGCCTTTCAAGAGATGAAGCTGTAACTTACAGGCAAACCTGTCCAGCTCACAATGGGTCTGCAAAAGGGGTGGGAAAAGTACATCAAGACACAGGCTGGCATTGGTGAGTGTGTGTGTGTGTCTTCTTCTCTAGCTACAAGCAGGCTAATACTTCCATAAGGAGTAACGGGGAGCAATGATGCATCACATGGGACTGTGAAAAGTGAGCCCCACGGAATAGGAGCTGGATTCAACAGACATTCAGATCAGTGGATAGTATCCCATTAATTTCAATGTGCATTGGATCAAACCCTTAAAAAGTAGGTGGCTTGGAAGGAATCGTGGCTGGGAGAAAGCTGAGATCCTCTGGTGCGGAACGACCCTCCCATTCTGCCATTCTGCCATGATTTCTACCTCCCTGCACAGTGTTAGCATCCAATTTCCGCTCTTGGTGTTGGACTTTCCCAGACACTCACCCCCGGAGCAGAGAGTATATCGGATGGCACACTGCCTTTCCCCCGGCTGTTTCCTACCACCGTGACAAGCTGAGGCCTGTCTGAAGATGAGAGTGACTTTATAGGCATAGCAGTGTCTTTCTCAAATGTGTCACTGTGGTTAGGATCCTCCGTCTTCGTGTTGCAGAAATATGCCCGTCGATGTTGTCACATGTCAAAATATCTAGTGACATATGAACTGCCACAACAGGGCTGGTGTCTTCTTCACACACGCCAGCACATTTGATGAAATATTACATGCCGATCAATATTTAATGGATGCATTTCACTGTCAAGAGAGGAGGGCTTCCTGTTTAAATTGAAGATGCTTTTCTAGGAAACGGCTGGAAGAATGACCCTGATATTAGATGGAAAATTCTTGTTCAAATGCTGATGCTGGAGAAAAGGCTGTGATGTGCCACACTTCAAGGACAGAACTCTCCCAGCTCCACGCGTCCAGGTGATAAGTACTGTCTCAAAAGGGCCAACAACTGGCTAGTCAATCCAATGAGACCAATTTTCACATTTTAAGTATTTGTCTGTGAAACCCGATATAAGAGCTTTTAAATTGGGGATGGCAAAGACTGACGAGGCACAGTGTTTAAATCGGGGCGCAACGGGCGCACACTCAAAAATGTGTGTGTGCATTTGTTTCCCTGCAGTTTGTGCAAGTTAGTGGGTATATGCACATGCAAAATGGCCCTTTTGTGTGTATTTACCTATCTTACAAGTGTAGATTCCTATTTGTTTGCAATTGTGGGTCTTTGCATTGTGCCTTGCTGCAAAAGTTAGGTCCATGTGATTATCCAGTCCATTCTTCTGGGGAAAAATGCAAGATCATTTCCTTCGTCCTATACATTCTTCACCACTTTGCCCAGGCCAGCTTTAAGTGATGGGGCTTCTACCATTTCCAGTTAGGAAAAGGACAGTACTGGGAGTTGAGAAATCTGGTTTCTCAGTTCAGCTGCACCATTCTGCCTCCTTGGACATTGCTGGCTTCACTGATTTTAGACTCTGCTAACGGTGGAGTAAATTCTATTTTTAAATCTCCAAAATCAAATAAGAAAACAAGTTCAGAAGTTCATCTCCATACTCAGACGTCAGCATGCTTCCTGGAGCCTGCAATACTGCTCTGCATATTACAGCTAGTTGAAACACTTGGCTTTTTGATCATAGACAATTTTTATTTTGGTCAAAATTACCTGACTTTTCTCAGGGGGCGCGGGGCACAAGCAAGCACTCTCCCCCCCCCAATTTTTTGGCTAAAAGATTTTGGGTTTTGAAATTTTATTTCCCCCTGTAACTGAATCGCTGTCTCCAGATTGCCTCTTTGTGGCCAAGGGCGGCAAAAGACCCACAACACAACAGTTCATTCACAGCTCCAGGTCTTCTTCAGGCCCAGTCTGCTCTTCATCAAGCAGCCAGTCCCAACCGTTTCTAGCTAGAGTCCTTCCCTGTTCTCCAAGCAGCCACTAACAGGCTTTCCTACCTGGAGTCCTTCCTTTCCCAAGGAGGGGATCCAAAACTCTCCCCAAGTTGTCTTCTCTATCATTGAGAGACCAGCAGGCAAACCCCTCCAGCTGCTCTGCTCTTTTGACTCTCAGCCTTCCCCAACTCCCTCTGGCTCAGAGACCAGCAGGTGCACATCTTCTGCGGCATGCCTGGTCCTGGCTATTTCAGGGTCTCCTGCAGGAGACTTGCTGCTCTCTGCAGCCCTCAGCAACCTTCTCCAGAACTTTGCTGACTTTTCTCGCTCCCTCTCCCAGGCCTCTCCCTTATTTATCCGGGAAGCCTGATGGAATCACATGACCCATCTTTATATTCCCCACATGGGGAGAGGAGTTAATCATCATGCAGATGAGGCTGAGACCCATTTCCCATTAAAGGTTCAGCCACCCAGTGACACCCCCAAATTTAACATTTTAACCACATCTCTTTTGTGAAAATTGACATCTTTTCAGTTTTTGATTTCTTTGGAAATTTAGGGGGAAAGAACCATTTTAAAAACATGTTTTTCATGAAAAATAATGGGGATTTTCTGACCAGCTCTACTGAACATACTACAAGAATGGCCTTTCTTTTGGTGTTTCGTTACTTTTGCTTATGCTCCTAATGGAAATGGTCAAACTCCCATTGACTTCATTGGGTGCAGCAGCAAACCCTAAAACACTATTCCTGTAGTATTGGCAGGAGTATTGATAGCCTGGAGTGGCCACAGTGAGAATTACACATGATAATGAAGAGGAACTCTTGTGTTGGAGGCGAGAGAGAAGAGAAAGGGGCCCTGGCTTCCATTCTTGGCTCTGTTGCTAGGCAGCTGTGTGGGCTTAGAGAGGCCTTTTCTCTCCACAGGCTTCTTTTTCCCCCCTCCCATTCTTTGTCTGGTCTATTTAACGATTAGCTCTATGGGACAGAGACTGTCTCTTATTGTTTGTACATCGCCCAGAATAATGGGGTCTCAATACGGATTGGGGCCTGTAATACACATAATAAAATCATCTGGGACTTGGGAAGAGCTAGTGGCTGAAGATGGCAGGTGGAACACTTGGTTCTGTTAAGCGAATGAATGAGCACATTTCACCTAAAGGTACTCAAACACAGACAAAGGAAAACGTGGCTCTGGGTTACCTCAGGGCGGATTATGGAAGCAAATTTTATGGGATATGGGTGGGCACATTTTCAAAAATAAGTACTTAGGTGGTGCCCACAAAACATGCACTTACAAGATGGGTAGTGATGCATGCAAGCTGTTATGCAGGCAAAGAAGTGTACGCACATAATCATTTGTGGGCATGTATTTTATAATGCAACTGGCCCTTTGTGCTCAGGCACACATATCCTGCAGAGACCTGGCCAAACTCGGCTGGTATACATGTTCTTCAATGGGCCTTGGCCCATTTACAGCAGCAGAGAGTTTGACCCACTCCTTAGGGACCTTAATTGGAAAGTTTGGCCCTAATCAATCCAAGGGGCGACATTCATCTAGCCACTGAGTCACCCTAGTCTAATGGATACTGTTGCACAGAGGTTGGGACTGGCTGGAGGGGCCACGCACCATGCATCACAAGCTGTCTTACCTTTGCTGTTGCCATCGGGTCCCCGGAGGATCGTGCACTCCTCAATGTTCCCGAACGCCTCGAATAGCCTGCGCACGTCGTCTTCTGACTGCTGCTTATTGAGCATCCCCACAAAGAGTTTTCTGTCTTCTGGAACAAAATAAAGAGATGCTTACCATATTTCAGGAGGAGTGCGAAAGCCAATATGACTCCACACAACATGCAAAAGAAAGAGGTGGGAGGGAGACGCCCCTCTCCCCTCCCCGCCAAGGCAAACATTTTCAGAAGTGGCTATGGATTTTGGATGCCAAGCTGGAAACGCCTTAAAGGGGCCGGGTTTTCAGAAAGTGCCAAGCATCACGTTGAGCCCTGGAAGATCGAGGCACCTAAAACCAATTAGTCACCTCTGAAAATCAATGCCCCAAGCCTCATGGGTCAGTTCTTTCTGCTCAGTCTTTGCAGACGAGTTCCCGGAAATAAAACACTGGTATTTTCCAGACTGCCATTCAAAGGGAATGCATACAAGGATGGCATTTAGAACCAACCTTCAATTAGGAAGTGCCCTTTTTAGTAGCCACCACTTTACCCTATAAGCTGCAGGAGAAAATAATTAAGTTTAACAGAAGCGGCTCTGTTTTGAATTGGTCTTTGATTTAAAGCAGCGAGGGAAGTAATTAAATGGAATGGAAGCCCTGGCTTGTAAATGAAGATTTTGGTCTTATATAAATATATATAAATGCTCACATACACGTTATACATATAAACACATTTATGTACCCACACAGATCTCTACATATACACACATACACACAGACAAATAAAACAGGAGTGCTTGTGGCACCTTCGAGACTAACAAATTTATTAGAGCATAAGCTTTCGTGGGCTACAGCCCACTTCTTCAGATGCATATCAGTTTTTTCATGAAGTTGATGGATTTCCACTCCATACGGCTAAATGCAGTGCCTTGCATAATGATATGCATCCGAAGAAGTGGGCTGTAGCCCACGAAAGCTTATGCTCTAATAAATTTGTTAGTCTCGAAGGTGCCACAAGTACTCCTGTTCTTATTGCGGATACAGACTAACACGGCTGCTACTCTGAAAACAGACAAATACGTATTCAGACTATTTTTGAAGGTCAGCTGATTGAAGACAACTGAATGGATTTTGCCCAAACTTGCAGTGGTCACCATTTAAAGTCAACATTTACTTATACAAGTATTTAAGATAGGACAGGTACATCCTATTTCAACTAATGGGAGACCCGCTAGCATCTTGGATACCACTGTGCTCTGTTGGTAGATGTTGTATTTACCTTTGCACTTATGATAAGGTTATGTTTACACTACAGGCTTGTCAATCAGGGGTGTGAAAAGGTATGTTCCTGGATCAGCACAGCTGTGCCTGCATAAACCCCTAATGTAGACGCGGTTATATTGGAAAAACTGCACTTTTACTGGTATAGCTTGTTTAGCTTGGGTGTGGAGTATGAATAAACTACACCCGTGAAAACACAGCTTTGCCAGTATAAGCAGTGTCCACACTAAAAACATGTTGTCATTATACCATACCGTTATCCCTATATCGGTAAACAGCTCCTAATGTAGACCCGGCTGTTAAAAGGAACAAACTTTGACAAAGCACCCAAAAACAGGGCCCAATCCAATGGCCACCAAAGTCAATAGAAAGACTCTCATGGACTTCCGTGGGCACTGGATCCACTGTTCGAATGGATTTCTATGCATAGCATTGTGACTGGCAGCGCTATACAATATCACTGCATGAAGGGGGGGGAAAAGAAATGTACATGGTTTACCTTGTGTATGTAAATAGGCCATTTACACATGCTTCATAAATGTGTAACTCATCATTCATTAAATACTATGTAAATGTGTGTGAACCAAGATGGTTTTTTTCTCGAAGCAGTTTACAGAACAGATGCAACCAATTTGAATAAATGCATGTGAGTAAATAAATACTTTGACTTTTTTTTAAACGTGCACGTTAATAACCTGAACCTGACCAGAATGCCCGTTTACAAAACCCCTTTTCTGGTTGAGAACATGGGTGATTGGCACCAGTTTTACTCATTGAGAAAGAGGTGATTTAGGCAAACTGCTCCGCTTAAACTGGTTTGATCAACGTTCACATACCCAAGAGTCATCTGTAAATTAGCAAATTGCCTTAGAAACTGAGCTAAAAGTAATTTTTTTATGCAGTAGATTAGATCCCTACCCCTACCCCGTTAGGGTGATCCTGATGAACCATGAGCATTCTGTGTATAGAAAATGCACAGATGGCTAGAGTAGTAAGATGACCAGCCTTTACATGGCCTTTAGCTGCGTAGCCAGCGCTGAAATAGTAGGAACACAGCACACTGGATTATCCCCATGCTTTCTTTTTCCCCCATCTCAAAGGAAGTAGCTAAAGTAATGGACAGTTCAAAGGCTTGTTTTCTAGAGGCATGCATAAGGAAAGTGATAGCTTTGATGACTGTCTTAACCAGATCTACTGGGAACCATGGAAATAGGAGCTAGGAAGATCAGCTAGTGCAGTGTCGGACTTCCCCACTGTACTTTTTCAGTGCTTTGTCTAGACTATTTTTCAAGTAATCGAGTCATTTAATTCTCCAATGGCAAGGAATGGACTAAATATTATAAATGTTCTCTATAGCTCTATGAGTCCGAGGAGCTTCCAGCATCCCCCTTGGTCACATCTCTGTGATGGGCTGCATGTATCTGCCAATGAAGGAATATTTCCTAACCATTGGGTGGGCACAGGGAGAAAGGGAAAGATTCAACTGTAGAAAAGTCTCCCCCACAGCCAGATGAAACCATCTTCTTGGAGATACAATGTGTATGGTCCATCAGAAATCACTTTACTCCATGGGCAAATTGCTCTGTGCAATGGAATCTCTGTGATGGGGTGTTAAACCTTTGACAGGTAGCTATTAACGCTACTCAGATCCTCAATGAAGCATCTCTTTAGGCCTTGCTTAGACAAAGTCTTAGAGAAACCAATAAGTCCAAAACCCTACTGTGTGTGTAGGTGTCTGGGAAAACTGGTTTGGAGAAGGAGGGTTGGCCCCAGATGGAGGTGAGGTGCAGGGGAAAGAAAGATCTTTGAGCACAACTGAAGTCAACTCTCCACTAGAAGAAAACTTGCTGGTATAACTACACTGGTTTGGGTATGCAAGCAAACCTTCCCGGTGTTGACAAAGCTAATACTGGTAAAAAAGTGCTGTTGCCAGTAAAGCCTATACTGCCTCCCTAGAAAAGCACTTTTACCAAGAAAAGCACTTTTATGCCGGTATCGATGTGTCTGCTCTAGGGTTTTTGCCGGTATCGATGTGTCAGACAAAATTCACACCCCTAATCAATGTTCTAATACCAGCAAAAGTTCCTAGTGTGGACCTGGCCTGAGACTGCCTTGCCTAATTTAGTTTATGCAAAGCATAAATCTAGGTATGTTACGCAAACCTTTTATTTTTTGGTTTTACTCCCTTTTCCCTGACATTCAGTCATCCGCGTCTCACTGAAGACTGCGGGCAAAAGGTGCCCATCACCGCCAGTTTTGTGCCATGTCCACCAGATGGCCACGTGACCACCAGCCACTGGACTGAGACCCTCTACTCACTTACTCATGGCTTTAGGGCCAAGATTTTCAAAAGTGGCTTGTGACTTTGGGGCCCAAGTTGACCCCCCTTAAAATGGCCTGATTTTCAGAAAGGGCCAAGCACTCGCTCTGCTGAAAATCAGGCCCCTTTAAGGTGACTCCAAATCACTTTTGAAAACCTTTGTGTTTTTTATAACAGTGATTTATGGCAACTGCTGTCTCAGACACCTAAATGTTCACACAACCAGCTGGTGAAATGAGTCGCTTTAACAACCAACGGCTCCCAGGCAGCCTTTTAACCACCCATCAGGTTTGCTCTTTGCATTCCAGACCTGCAAGAAAGCTCATCGCGACGTTATAATAATGTATCCCGTGCACTGAATGGGAAGAGCGGAGGAACACGGCAGCAGCTGGGAACATTCAGTGGGTTCCCGATCTCGATGTGCACCTGGATTCATTTGCATGCGACTGAAATTACAGCACCGTAATCCACTAATGAGCTTACACTGAACCTTTCACACCACCAGTGCCCCCAGATGCTTTGCCAAGTCCCAAACAAAAGGCTGACATGCCAAGTGCCACGGTAACTCGGCTCAACTTCATCAACTATGTCTGAGAGAGCATGAGGAAGGCCATTAGGCCACCAGAGCAAAATGGAGAGGGATTGCATTGGACACAGTGTGTTGTGCATGGGGATGAATGTATGCTATATGCTCTCTCTATTGGTGTTGCTTCCAAAGCATCCTGTTATAATAGACTATATGGAGATATTTGTATCTCATAGAGCTGGAAGGGACCCTGAAAGGTCTTTGAGTCCAGCCCCCTGGACCAAGTACTGATTTTGCCCCAGATCCCTAAGTGGCCCCCTCAAGGATTGAACTCACCACCCTGAGTTTAGCAGGCCAATGTGCAAACCACTAAGCTCTCCCTCCCCCCCTTATGAGAGTTCACTGCACTGGGTTTCTGTCCCATCATGCAGATCACGCTGATTTTGCTGCTGCAAAGGGAAAGGCAATGTCTGCACAGTGGAAGTTCAACAGAAAGGGAGAGACATGAAACGTTCAAGTCTGGGCATGGACTTGGACCAATCCCCTGGATCAAACCATTCCAGAACATTGTGTGTGTGTGTTAGTTTCCAAACTTGGATCTCAATTCCATGCTGGCATCTGTTTCTGGAATGGATCATGCAAGATTCTGGGTCAGAACACCCCAAACTCTGAACTTGTCACATTCAGAGCGCTTTGCAAGCATGGGCTACGTCATTCTCAGACCAGCCCTTTGAAGAAGGTAGATATCATCATCCCGATTGACAGAGCTGGAGAAAGAGGGGGGTTATGATTTGAAAAGTGACTCCCTACAAACAGCTCCACTGAGCCCCACGGTTATTATGTCTCAGTGATTTCAGATCAATTAAGCTCAGTTTACGAGTAAAAGCTGCCAGTAGAAAAAACCCGAACTTGGAATCTGAGAGTCAGGCTGGTTCCTTTCCTTCTTAGGCGCCCTCAACAGAAATAAAACTGGCACTGATGGACACTG